GGACTAAGATCATTTGTAAGGCAACATCCGAAGCGTCATTGAGGGACTATGATCTTGTATTTTGATTGTTTTTACTAAGACGTCTCACATGCATAACATAACCATTTTCATAAGGCAACAAGTGGAATTACCCTAGGGGTGCATGTATGAATAGTGTGTTTGATTTGAATGCATTTAGTCTTTGATAAGGGATTGTCTACTTGTTGTTTTTACCTTCCTATACAAATCCTACTTTACTAACATTTATATGAAAGCAATAAATTATGGAAAGTAAATATTCTACGCTATTACAATTACTTGGGGGATGGGGTGTACAAATTTATAAATGGAGATTGCAAGAAATTAAAGTTCTAATTATCCATTACAACCATATTGAAATAAGGTACAAGAAATATAAATTAAACTTGTTTTGCTTTTGTTAAGAGAGGGAATAAATTTGCTTAAGAAAATATTTTTAGTCTTTTTTAAAAGAAATAAAAATAAAGCATGTGAATATAAAGTCTTTTTTGAAATTTTTTTATTAATGAAAATAAAAGTAATAATAAAAATAATAAGGGAATAAGGGTCAGAGTCAGCGCGTGGCTGAAAGAGGAGAGATTAGAAGTTCTGATTCAGGCGCGTTGCAAATCAGAAAGAAAATGTTAGCAGAAATGGGGAAGGCCGAAAGTTCTCAATCCGGACGCACTAAAATTCTGGGGTTGTTGGGAACAAAAGAAATCCTAGAAGTTCTGATGCAACTGAAAACCTAGAAGTTCTAGTGTTACTGGAAGGTTAGAAGTTCTGGTTGTTGAGAGAGTCTAGAAGTTCTAATACAGCTGGAAACCTAGAAGTTCTAGTGTTACTGGCAAGCTAGAAGTTATGATAATGGGTCTGTGAGGTGTCAATGTTGTTGGATGGGGACATCTAGAAGTCCTGGTCCAGGATCATTGTTTTGACAATCAACTGAAGGGGGGTTTATCTAGAAGTTCTAGTCCAAGGTCAATGTTTGACAAATAATGGGGGAAAATATCAAGAGATAAAACATAAAAAGGTGTTTCTGGGGGCTAGAACTCAGGACCCTTAACACTAATACTTTATGCGCACGCTCTCTACCACTGGGGTGGCTATACATCCGGTATTAGAAGCAAAAACATAAACATATATTACAAAGTAAGTTCTGATGATGAACTTCGTCTTCTTCTTCACACCAATTAGAGTATCTGCAGCTTAGTCATTTCTCAACAAAAAATGGAAAATACAAACATAGCAATTATAGAAAATTTCATCATGGCTTCAGAAATACAAAACATCAAAACTATAAACCAGAAGCAAGCATGAATTTTGCTAATCCTAATTCTGAACCCTAATTTTTTCAAGAAGTTCTGATCTGAAATTCTCTCTACTTAGGCCATATGTATAAAATCTATAAATATATACAGAATTAGAGTCATGATATCTACATTGTATCTTTGAAAATGCAAGCCTAACAATGCCTAAGCAATGAACTAAAAGTCAGAAGAAACTTACCTTGCAGTTGGAAATTGTTCTGTGAATTAGAGTCTGGTTCAGATTGCTGTGATGTTCTGATCAGCTTTCTCAAGTACTCAGGAAGCTATAACAATCCTTAACTTGAGCTATGAATGGCTGGAATATTCTGGAGCAGCCAAGAAGCAGAGTTTTGATTTTTGAAATGGAGATTGGTGAAGATTGTGTTACAGTCTGAAAACAGAAGTTGGGACGGCTTCTAAGTGTATATCAGAAACTGTATGGGTGATTTGGCCAATAAATGCACAAGAAAAATTAGAGTTTGGATGCAAAAACCAGAAATTAGTAGGTTTTGTGTTTGGGCTGCAGTTTCAGGTTCTTGGAATTTTCAACAAGGTTTCAAGGCTTTTTTTCAATCTTTTCGACCTCTTTAACAGTTGCAACTGAAGTTTAATTTATAGGCAAAGGATTTAGAAACTAGGAGAAGTCAAGAGTACAGCCATCATGTGTTATGGATAGTTGACTTGTTTTTGAATTAAGCTTAGACAAGTATGGTTCAAGGCAAAATAGAGTGGTTAGCAGCTTTAGTCGCACCCAATCTAATTTTGTAGGCATGATTTATGGAGAAGTATACTCAGAAGAAAAAGTAAAGCATGGGCCCAACATAAACTTTGTATAAAAGTTTACTTTCCAAGGATAGCAATGGTACTTCTATGCCACACGTGAGGAGATCATTTGGATAAAGACTCAAAAGTTGGTGTGAGCATTAAATGATGGTGAGATTTAACAAGCAAGAAAATCCGCAACCTGAGATTATGCAGCCTAGCTTGAAACTGGATCAGAAGTTCAACACAAACGTAAATTGGATTAAGAACAAACGTCCATCTTCTGATCTTTAGTTCTCTCTGTTCCCGCATGATCTGAAGGAGTCTTCAGACTTTTCAGAAAGCTTGTAACATGCTTTGTAAACCCTCTTTGAATTACTTTTGTAAACTCTGATCGTATCTACGTGAGAACTAGCCCAGAAGTTCTAACCAAATTCTGACTTGGAAATGCTCAGAATTTACTAAGTGTTTTAGTTTCGTGGACGTGTCTTCAAGGGTTTATAACTTGAAATCACAGCATTTTTAGGACAAGTTATATTCTGTAATATTTTAGATCTCATTGATATCTACAACTCTTGTGTCAGAAATTCTTTCTGAATCAGCTTGCATCATGATGAAAATATGGCCAGAAGTTTTGAACTTATCATCTTTTCTTAGCACTTAGAAAAAAAATTCTAAGTGTTTAGAATTTTGACTTTTCCAAAGTAATTTTGACTTTTTGATTTTCTTGATGAAACAACTTCGTATTCTAACATGTCTTGATGAAATGCAATTCTTGAAATTTGATTTTGAACTAAAAGTCCAAGTTTGACTTTTCAGTGTGCATTTTGACCATTTTGCTCTTGTGCCAATTCCAAATCTAAATTGATGTATCAGTGCTGCAAACTTGGCTCATGGAAGATCTTGTGAGAAATTCTTGAGAAATGAGAGGACAAGTTTTGGGGTACAACAGTGGCCTTATTGGCGAATGTTGTGGGCTTATGCCTTGTGGTTGCATAATTATGTTGTTGCATTTTGGCGTTGCATGTATGCATTGGTGAGGGCTCATGCTTTATTATTGGTCTGTAATGATATTATGTTGAGGGCTTGTGCAGTGTTGTAACCCTATATGGCATTATGTTGTGGGCGTATGCCCTGTTGGTATCACATGTATTAAGTCAACGTTGGTCTCATTGCATTGCATTACTGTTGATTTGATATTGTGTTATGTAGATTATGTATGTGTTGTAAAATGGTGGATGATATGTGAATTATATGAATAGTGTGAGTTACTAATCCTTAGCATGTGATATTCACCATATATTTATTGAATGTAATTCTCACCCCTTTTCTGTTGTTGTATTTGTGCTTCTCGGAGAGTACAGATAATCAGATACCCGAGTAGTGCTTGGAGTGAGTGTTACTTGATCAAGTCTTAGGAGTCGCTCTGATACGTAATACGGGATTAGGAATTTACCATATTTTTGCATTGTTTTATTTGTTATGTATCTTAGTTTCTTACTTATGTTGAACCACGCATTTTGTTGAGTTTTATTGTTGTTGAGGCCTTAGTGCCATAAAAGTGAATTAATTTAATTGCTTTGCTGCTGATTTGATTTTATGAGAAATGAAACAATAAAGTGATTTGAGACTTTATGAGTGTTTGAAAGGTGTGACATCCTACGTGTATACTCTGGTATATTCTGTAAATTATATAATAATTATTCATGTGGGGAAAGTGGGGTGTTAATTATGTCACTCTAAAAACCATTGGATGTAGCTAAATGCACTCTATGGTTGGAGAGCTGACACACTATGTACATCCTTTAGGACCAAATGATCATGGTAGTCCGTAAATATATTATCAACATCTTTGTGGTGGAGTGTGCGAGGACCAGTAACAACGAGAGTCTCTAGGAATACTCTGTGTATACTCGAACTGACGCTTGGCTCATTTAGGTAGACGTGGATACACCAGTCGTGACACAAGAACGAATCATTCAAAGTAGAAGAATATCTCATTGAAGGTCGTGTCTCGCAATGATCGCCATTATGCTTTTAACTACTCGATAAACCTCAACAACCTATTTAGCTAGCATATTCATCACATACTAAAAAAAAAAAAACTTATCAAATTGTAAGAAAGCTTAAAAAATAAAAAAATAAAAACCCATTGAATGATGGAGTAGAGGTTCATCACTAAACTTGAATGCAATGCAGTAAAAATAATAAGAAAACTTGAAAAATGATTGAAAATGAGTTTGCTCATGACCTATGTTTTGGGTTCTTATTAAACTTTTTGAAATGAAGAGGGAAAGGGATATGTGACACGTTATATAAATCAAATTGGTCCAAAATTTAACCTCCACATAAAATACAAATATTAACCTATGAGACTTGATTGTGATTGCATTTTGGTGCGTCCGCCAGATTTTAAAGATAATTTTTCCCTAGATTGGATGAGCACCACTAAGCAAATTTTCTTGTTTTCTTTTCTCATCCCAATTTCCAAAAATAAAAATAATAATCTCTGAAAATCTTATTTTAACTTTTTATTTTCAAAAGAAGATAGTTTTTAAAAATAATTTTGTACAATAAGTAATCAAACAAATTTTATTAATTTCTTAGGCCCTATCAAGAATTAGTATAACAAACACCATAGTGAATTTATACAATTGTTAAGTCATTTCTTAGGCCCTAACAAGGATTAGTACAACAATCACCATCAATAATTTATAACATGCTACTTTTATTTTAATTCCTGATAAAGCATTCCACATAAGGTTTCATTTATAGAAAATCTCTCACTTACATAATTTATGTGCTTACTACTAGATGGCACATTGCAAGATAAAAAGACATTTCTCTGTTAATGCTCTGGTTCAAAAACTCTGAAGGCACACATTTATGTTATAGCTATGATGTCCTTCTAAATTGAAATAATTAATGTTTTTAAGAACTACCATGGAAGGAAGGGTCTCTCCACCAGAACAAAGAAAATATATTGAGAAAATGAGGCAAAATTTCCACAGATATTAAACATTGTTTTAAGAAATTTCGCATTTGTGACTTTAATTTCGAACTTAACTGGTTTCTTAATTTGGTATTTCGATGACAATCCCTGTGACATTTTAACCTATACACTACAACCATGCTGTTGTGCCACGATTAGGCTTGAATCCTTAGCCTCCAGCGATCACCTTCATCAATATGAGCTATCAATTTCCTGGAACAGCATCATCAACGAATATTAGAAAATGTTATTTCTAAACGGAAACTGAAGCAAGGTGGAATTACTCCAGAAAATTACCATTGGAGTTGCGAAACTTAAGCAAGGTGTGGAATTACTCCAGGAATACTTGAATCCTGTCACCCATTCTGTCATTAAAATCCAACACTTTTCCCCCGGTTTCCTCTGTTGCATCATCCAATAGCTTTTTGAGGTTTACCCCTACCAAAGCTGCATAGTTGCGACAAAATTAACCAACAGGAATTGTGAAAAGAAGTACTTCAACACGAAATTGAATTACAATTTTGAAAAGAAATAGAAACAATACCAGGAACTATGTTTGTGATTCCATCCAGAAATCCAGCCTGTATGTATGCAAAGTATATGTATTATGAGAAAAGGGAACATGAAATCATGTTTGGAGAAATATTCAACAAGATAGTTTGTTCAAACCAAACTCGAACATACACATAATCAAAAGATGAACAGCTGATTGATCATAACCATGTAGAACTATTCTATAGGCTACACCTAACTAGTTCTGACTAGTTAATGTGAATAAATCATTATTTTTGTTCAGTTGGAGAGTTGATTACTTACGGGAATCCGAAGATCAAGTTTCTCGGCTCCATCTCTGCCCGTTATTTTAATTCTCAGAGTCCGGGACCAGATTCCAGAAAAAGGGCTCCCTGAACTATCTGCACCATATTTATTGTACACATCAGGTGTTATAACTTCGACAATGGGATCGTTGATAGTTTGACTTGTCTGCTCTGTATCAGCTTGGTCTCTCTGTTCATTACTGTATAGGCTACTGCTCTCTGATAAATAACTAATTAGTAATTACTACGAGAATGCAAGAATAGAATGCGCAATGACACAAAAAGATAAAATATGTAGACTGTGTTTAATCTGAGAAGCCTACTGCAATTGTTTACTTATTTAGTTATATTTCTATTAAGATTTGTCTCTCCAACCTCTCTTTGAAAGAAGCCGATCGGTACTTGTAGCATATCGTTTCTCTTCTTCATAATATTTGTTGAAACCTAAGATATCCTTAATTTCTTCAAAAGATGGCATGCTTCCTGGAGGAGGAATACGACCTCCTTTAATAGCAGTGAGTGAATCCTACACCGGCAGTCATAGATATTACTTAAAATGATAAAAATATAAATAATACTTCAAACAAATACATAAAAATGTCTTTTAAAAAAAATAAAAAATAAACGAGCTCAATATCAAAATACTATTACTTTGGCCTGTCATATAGGATTTAGGATGAGTAATTATTTTTAATATGTTCGATAACTGCTATGGTTCCTTGCCTGGGATCGTGTTGACACAGTCCTAGACGCGGAAGAAGCTTTCATGAATTTATCATCAGCACATATAATATTAATTAATGATTATCATAGTTAAAGAAAGGGAAGGTGTGTCACCTGCATTGCTCGGATAGATACTCCAATCAAAGAAAGGGGATAGGCAACAATTTTATAGCCGATGTCTTCAAGTTCGAGAGGAGTGAGTATTGGTGTTTTGCCTCCTCCTTCAAGCATATTGGCCTACAAAATCATACATATTAGCCTTGCATATCATTTCGCTTTCTTTCTTTTGCTATTACTAAAACTTAATAGAAAGAAAAACACCATTTTTGGGACAAGGGGAGAAACTTGACAAAAAGCTTCCATCTCTTGTTTGGAGGCAAGTGCATCTATAAAAACAACATCAGCTCCAGCATCAGCAAATGCCCTTGACCTATAGAGTGCCTCATCAAGAGACAAAGCTTGCCGTGAATCGGTGCGAGCCACAATCACAATATCAGATCCACTCTCATTTCTAGCATCAACCGCTGCTTTGATCCGCATAACCGCCTCTTCTCTCGACACCACTTTCCTCCCTTGTGTGTGACCACACGCTTTCGGTGATACCTAGCAATGAATCAGCAAGTTGAAGCAATTTGCAGAATATTGGATATAACATATCAGCATATCAAGTTCTAATAAGGTGCTGGAATACCAAATAATAAGCTTCGAATGAGAAGTAAATACTTAAGTTGATCCCTAGAATTGTGGGATCATATCAATCTACTCCTTCCTGATATTACTATTTAAAAATAATCTCTAGAAGTGCAAAAGATTGAATAGGCAAATCAATCATCAAAACTGTAAGCATCGGCCAAAATAGACTTTTATTTTTTTTACTTAGCAAATACATTTCTGAAATTGTACACTTTCATTCAAAATAGCTATTCTATTTTTTCATAAACGTAGTATCTAGCCTAAAGACAGACTAAGCCGGGGACCAACTCCACCGTCCATTAGTGGGGGCCTAAATGAAATGAGAGCGATAGTCTGTATGAACTGGCTCAACATTGAAATTGTTGGCACTTGAAGAATTTGAACCTAAAACTTTGAGAAAAGCACACTCTTAAGTTCCAAGCCGTCACCACAGACCAACTTCTGGGATTTAAAGTAGTTACTCTATGAACTTACGTTGTCAGAGGATATGATGTGGCACGTTAACACGACAGATCACACTTCACGTAGATCCCACGCCAATGTCAGTTCATTAGGGACTAATTTGCTTGTGAAATTTTGGTACTTTCATGGACAGATTTATCAACAACTGCAATATGAAGATAAGTATTGGAAAATTAGTCTCTAATGCGTTGGCATTAATATGAGACCAAGGTAGAGAATTAGCATGTTTCGTTAACGTGTCACGGCATAGTCCCTACTCCCTAATGATTAAAGTTAACATTCCGACTGCTATGACCGGAAAAAAAATTGATTCAATTTCAATCAAATAAGTCAAAGTGAGTGTTTGGTTATGCGGTGACAAGAATTGATTATGACTAAATTGATTTTGTAAAATTGATTCGGATTAAAAGTGATTTATGTTTGAATACATATATATGTAAAAATGAGTTGAACAACGACTTTCAGTGTAAAAATTATAAATTCTATTTTCAAGTAGATTCAATTATACTTTAGAGGAGCCAAACACGTCAGAATTCTACCCTGTAGAATTGCTTTTGGCTCTTCCAAAACCCAAACCAAACACGCACAAAATCAATTTTCCATAATCAATTCTTGCATTACCTGATCTTCGAGAATGATTCCAGCAAAACCAGCAGCAACAAAACCCTTAACAGTCCTCTTGACATTCATAGCATTCCCATAACCATTATCACCATCACCAATAACAGGAATATCAACCGCTTGTGTAATCAATTTCCCTTGATCAATCATTTCACCGTAAGACAAATAGCCTGTATCCGGCAATCCCAATCGCGAAGCAGATATCGAAAAACCGCTAGTGAAACACAACGGGAAACCAGCGGATTGAACGAGATTTGCACTGAGTGCGTCGAAACATGCAGGACCTTGATGAACGCCGGGGGAATCGAGGATTCGACGGAGGAGGTTAGGTTTGTCGGTGCTTGATGAACATGAAATTGTGCTCGTGGCGCGTAATTGGAATTGAAAAAGAGGAGAAGAGGATATGCGACGGGAGTGGCGGAGATGAGGAAGAGGAATACAACTGCCGGCGCCGGTGCCGGCGAGAGTGGTGGCGGAGTAGTTTGTGGTACTAAGTGCTGAACCGGAACAGTTCATCATGCTTGCTAGCTTCCACAGTTACTCTACACACTCATAAATCTCCGTCTTGATTAAATTCTCTAATGTTTTTGATTTTTTTTTAAATAATTTTTATGAAATAATATAATTGTTTAAAAAAATTTCTAAATTTTTTTAATACAAGATTCAAATAAAAATTTGATTAAAATACTTATTTTTATATTATTATTTTAAATATTTTATTATTTTAATATGAAATTAGTTGATATATACTGTTAATATAAAAAAAATCTATAGTATCAGTATATCATAATCATTTAAATATATTATTTTAATAAAAAATTTATATATTTAAAACAAATTAACGATTATGATTAATTGATTATGTAAAACTTCTTTCCATCGTTTGTATATTTAATTAATTTTTTTAATATTAATATAAATTTAATTAAAATACATTAAGAGTATAAAGGAGTTTTAACTTTATGAATAATAACCATTAAATTATAAATTATATTTTATTTTTATTTTGTTTCTTTTTAAGTATCATTTTACTATAAAGTTCTTCAATCATGATAGTGAATTATTAGAGTTATTTTTCTTATTATATCATCAATTTTTTTTTAAATAAATTTTTTTTTGAAACGACACTTAAAAAGAAACGGGTAGAGTACATTTATAGGTGGTTGTGACGGATAAAAAATTTTACACCGAGTACATAGTAATTAAACTCTATTAATATTTCAAAAAATTACTTAATTTTAAAGAAATAATTTTTCATATAAAAAATTTTTAAATGGTTTTTTTAAAATTTTATGATTTAAATTATGTTTTAATTTTTAATAATTTATTATATTATAAAATGTCAAAATTAATCTTTTAAATGAAAAAATTTATAGTATTTTGTAAAACAATTTTATAAAATCTATTTCTAAAAAAATAAAATAAAAATTATTTATTCTTTAAGATAAAACAAACAGACCCTTAGTCTTTAGTTCACTTTGAATTATTTCTTTTATAAAACAAACATACCCTTAATTTTTACTTCACCAAATGTGTTGGTCTAATTTCTATTGTAGGATAACTAATCTTTTGGAAAAACAATTATGTTATTATAATTTGATTTTTTACGTGCATGTCATACTTTTGAAATTTTAAATACAAAAATGTTACACTTTGAAAATAATGTATCAATTTGTCACATTTTATGTATGTTTCTGTTCGATGGATGAACGAGAAAATAAAAATATTTTTTCACCTTCAAGCTCTTGTCTAATGAATGGGAGTGGATGCATACAAAAACATTTTTTCACTTTTTTTGATTTTTAATATGTTTTTCATCTATTTGCTTATCTATTGGGCGAAAGCTAGAAGGTAAAAAACATATTTTTATTTTCTCATTCATTTATTGGACGAGAGCATACATAAAATGTGATAGATTGATACATTATTTTTAAAGTGTGGCATTTTTAAATTTAAAATTTCAAGTGTGTCATGTACGTAAAAAAAATCTAATAATTTTTTGTAATTTGATTTGATAATTTTATTTTTTTTCTTATTCAAATTAGTATTATCAATATTCAATCTTATTTACTTAAATTTGAATTGGTGGAAATTTTTATTCAAAAATAATCTATTTTTTCAAATAAATACCTAACTTGCTTTTTCACTTATTCTCTAAACTAATTCAATTTCAAACAAGAACAAATTTACATAAAATATAGGTTAATTCAATTAGTAACGATGAACAATTAAGAGAAGATATCAATTCAATCGGCGATAATATATTTATATATTATCACTAATTAAATTGATATTTACTCATATATATTACACATCGTTATTATTAATTGAATTGAATTTTATCTCTGTTGAAATTTTTTTATTTTTTTAAAGTAGATTAGTTAGGGAAATACATGAAAATGAATTAATTTGGATATTTATTTTAAAAAGTGGAGTATTTGAGTAAAAATTTAGAATGGATGTTCTATGAATGTTGTTGGAAGAATATTTTTTAGCAATAACACCTATTCTTGCAGAATCAGTAAATGAAACTTAAATTTGATCACCTTAATCGGTAAAGGAAACATTCATTTATTTTGTTTTCCTTCTAAATTGGATTAACTCGTTCATTTCTAAACTTTCTTCACATCCTTTTGATAAAAATATAGGAGTTCAAGTCAGTATAAATCCATGAATGAAAGAGAGGAAATTCATATATAAAAAAGAGAAATGCATACCACATTGATGCACATGAGGTAACATTGTGTACTAAATGAAAGAGAAGAAAAAAATCTAGCTACATGAGTTTCATATTTTTTTAGAACAAACATGAGTTCATATTTATATAACTCATTGACACTCATTTTTAACTAAATTTATCTGATTCTAAGTATTTGTTTTCGAATAGTACTTAATTTTCTGTCTTATTCTTAATTTTTGTTTTCTAGTTTATGTATATTTGTCTCTAATATTTTATTCTTTGTCGTTTGTTTTGATTCTCTGGTTGCTTGTATTTTTGGGTAGCAATTACAGTTTAGCTATTTAAATAATATTTGTCGATGATTGATTTGTCTAATGCTCCTATGCTCCCAACAGATATGAAGTTACAGAAAAAGATAAAGATAATGGAGACACTTTAACCAAATCAGATTGATCCTGTCCTCTCTTGAATCTGTGAATCACACAGCTCAATTTGCTTCTTGAAAATTGTATTAACTCAGGTCACATTATTAATAATTTAAAATGATTTCTTAAATTACAAAAATGTTTATTAGATTTGCTCATGTGATTTTATATGTTATTTGTTCTAGGACAACTAGAAAGACCCCGTATTAGCTAATCATATTGTTTCGTCTCGACTTGTATTATAATTAAGATCCAGTTCCATCATGATTTTTCTCAATGAGTGAATATAGTTATTACTATGATCTCCAAGAGATCTCAATCGTAAAAGCACATCCAACGGTAATCCACAAAGAACGATGAGCAAATATTTGATTCATTATTTTTCTCTTGTCAGATATAGAGCAGGTGCCAAATTGAGCATAGAAGTGATAATCTTGTAGGTGCTCCCACTGCACTGCATCGAAGGCTGCAATCCACCGTCACATTCGTTCAAACAACTCATTTCTACTTCCAGGATAGAAGAATAACGTCGTTTGTGAGAATTGACTCTTGATTCCTACTATTTCCACAGATTCACATTCTGTTTATCAGTGATTTTTGACAAACAACTGCTAGTCTTCCAAATCTTATGTTTTGGTAACTTACATGATCGACTAGATTGATCCTAGGACATAGTCTTAGTGTTCTTACAGTCTGATTCGAAAGAAAACATTGTACGGATAATAACAAGGTTTTTCTATGGTTACAATGATCTCAAGATGTTTAAAGTTTGACTATGAATCTTAAACATGACTTTAAAGGGAATAATCTGGAAATTTGTGAAAATATAAAGACAACGCTTAATAAGAAAAGTTTAATAAAATTGTTAAAAGACTAGACTAAAAATGAAAAAGGAATAAAAGTGATTAAAGACTTTGTACTGAGAAATTAATTCTGAATAAAGTTGGTGATGTTCTTACACATATATTATCAACAAACTCGTTTCTCTCGCTCCGGTACTTTGAGTATAATATAATTTTGTATACAATTCGAAAACACACTTTTTCTAACATCTAAGACTTCTATTTATACTGATTTGACCCTAACGGTCCTTCTACGAAAACACGCCACGTTCGAAGATTGCATGTCTTTCGAACTATTAGACTTCCATGTGTCTCTTTGGATAAGATAGAAGCTTTTGAATTCGAAATCTTCTTCTTTTCGAAGCACCAATTCAAACAACATGACGGTCGAAATATCTTTCTTTGTAATGCTTCGAATAACTTATATTTCCACAGTTCGAAAATGAACCCTTCGATAATGGTTCAATATAGTAAAACTCTTTACTAGCTCTTCATCAATTGAAGATTCCATAAAAACCTTCTTATACTTTCCCTCGAACAACTCTTTCTTCGATCAAAAAGCCTTAAAACTTGTATAATCAAAATTTCCAGCTAACAAACTTCCCCCTCAAAAATGTGTATTTCGTTACATAGAGAAATAGTCATTTTTGAATAACAACTTTGAATTTCTATATATTCATAATAACCACTTCTGACTAATAATAACTTCTGATGACAACTTCAGAAACTTTCTGACTTTGGAATGTTTGAATATGAGTCAGAATCAGAAGATGAATATGAAGTTTCTGAAGATGAGTCAAAATTAGAAGTTGACTCTGAAGGTAAATATTTCAGGCAAAGCCATTTTGGCAATTAATTAGATCACCATTTTGGCTATACATACTTTTGTTGCTTATTCCCTTGCCATGATTTTTACTTCTTGCAAAAATGGTTTATACTTATTTAAGTATTTCCCATTTACTTTTAGGATTCTTCGATCCTTAGCTAACTCCTTTACTTCATAAGTGTTGTTTGAGAATGTCTTTAAGATTCGAAAAGGTCCTTCCAATATGGGGATCATTTTCCTAACGCTTTATTCTTTCGATCCATAGGTAAAATGACTTTCCATGCTAAGTTATTTAGAATAAGCGTCTTGCCTTTGACCCTCTTATTGTATGCTCTTGCCACTCTTTCCTTTTGTCTTATCAATCTTTCTAAAGCATGTAACCTTTTTTCATCTAAATCTACTAATTCATTCATCATCATTTCCCAATAAAAGTCAAAAGGAATTTCCTCTTGTCTTTGAATTCTAACTGATTGTAAGTAGATTTTGATTGGAAATACTGCATCAAACACAAACGTGAGTTGGAAAGGTGTGGTATTAGTTGCTTATTTAGGGGAAGTTCGACAAGCCCATAATGCTTGGTCCAAAGTTTTGTGCCATTTTTTTGGCTTTTTTCCTACATGTTTCTTTACCAACCCAATTATCACTTTGTTGGTTGTTTCAACTTGTCCATTCGCTTGAGCATAATAAGGCGTGGATGTTAATAGTTTGAAACCCATTTCCTTGGCAAACTCTTGCATCTTTCGACC